CTTCAAACAAGACTAAAGACTAGAAAGGTATTAATAAGAGTACAGAAGGCTTCACTCTTACCTCCATATTTACTCTTAATTAGGAGCTATGTAGCAATATCTTATAAGACCTCAAAAATGTGTTAACTTTAAAAGACATGTATCTTAACTTTTAAAGCAAGTTTTTTATATGTGACCCATAACATTACTATATTCTACAACCTATTAATATGTGGTTAATTTGTTGACCAATCAATTGGTTAAAAATACATATAAAGTCAAAGCAAAGTCTGTAAAGCTTCTAAGAAGCATTTTTAAAAAATATTTTGAAATAAATCTACTTTTACCTACTTCTACTTAATCATATAGATAAATATTAGAATAAATATGTATGTCAATGATAGATACAAGGCTAGATTGATTGCCAAAGGTGATTCACAAGTTGTTGGTCTTGATTTCAATGAGACTTTTGCTTCCATTTCCAATTCACTACCATTAAAATCATTGTGATTGTTGGAGCAATAATGGACTTAGAAATATACTAAATGAATATAAAAATTAATTTCTTGAATGAAAATTTTAAAAAAGATATCTATATGAATGAACTTCAAAAATTTATTAAAAAGAGCAAACAATATCTTATTTATAAATTGAAGAAATCCTTATATAGAGTCAAGAAATTATCAAAGATATTATATCAATGTATTAAAGTATTTTTTATGAATAAAAGATATGTAAAGAATGATGGTGAACATTCCATATATATAATATAATTAAATATATTTATATTGATTATTTTACTTTATTTTTATGATTTAATCATTTTAACTAATACCAAAAGTTGATGGATTATTTCAAAACAAAAGTTTTTTAAAAAAATGAGATGAGTGATTAGGAAGAGTTTCACTATGATTTAGAAGTGGAGTTTGTGAGAGATTGTACTAAAAAAATCATTATAATGAGCCAAAGTAAGTATATTGAAGAGGTATTGAAACAATTTAACAAAGAGGAATATAAGCCTATTGGAACATCTTTGGAAGTCAATTTGAAGTTGATAAAGCTCACAAATGAAGAATTTACTTAAGTTAAAGATCAAATATAAGGTACTCTATACAAAACAATAAAATATTCACTTATATATGCAATGGTTAGCATAAGGATAGATCTTGTATATACAATGAGTATTGTAAGCCAACACATCTCAAATATGGGACAAATTTTTTGGACAACCATCAAATAGATGATGAGAAACTAAAAAGGTATTTTATACTTCAAATTATGCCTTGGAGATTGTGAATCATTAAATTGACTCATTAATTATTTTAAAATAAGAAAATACATTTAGAATACTTAACCATAATATATGGTGAATAGTATAAAAAAAATTTTGACAAATAGAAAATTAAAATGTTAGTCGTAGAAATGGAATATTAGTAAGTCTTAGAAGCAATTAACTTAGTTGATTTAATATTTTTTACTTATTATTGAGTACTAAGGATTATTTATTAAGATCAATATTTATATTGGCTTTATATCTATATATATTAATTATAAAAAAAACTATAAATAATAGTTTGTAGCTAAAAAAGAACATAAAAAAGAACCTCATATCTTTTTAGTTATTTATATAGAAAGTAAAATTTATAGTGGATTTAATTTTTTTTATACCATAAAAAATCATCAGGATAGGAAATTATATCTTTAAAATAATATCAGAAATATAGAACCATTATAGTAATTTTTAGAATTTATTGAGAATTTATTTAGAATTTTTTAGGAATTTTTAGAGTAATTTCTAAGTCTTTGGTAAAAATGAGTTTTACCACTTCAAAAGCTATTATGAAGAAATGGAGCAAGTTTTGAGGCTACGTAAGATTTCTAGGCTAATTAGGTATTTTTAAACATGATGGTAAAGTCAAAAATGCAAAAATATTGGTTTTACTAGTAGAAAATAGGAGGACTTGTAGCTAGTATAGTCCTTGTAAGAAAGGAGGTGCACAAGTTCCATATGGATTGTAGCACCTTGAAGGTAGTTAGGAGGATAAAACTAAGGCCTTATGACCTCTCTTAGATACTCTTATACACTACATGTGAGCCTTGGTGAGGTTCAAATCTTTGATCTATAAGTAAGTTATCTTTGACGTAAAATATTTTCACTTAAATTTTTTATTTATTAACTTGTTATTTTTAAATCTTCATAACTTATTTATAGTAATTCGGATTTACATGTTTCTTAAATCATTGGAAAGATTTTAAAAAATTAAATTTTTAAAAATATTTTTTACTTTTATATTTTACTTTTTATTGGATAAAAATTCAATAAACAAACTAGACCAAGTTTTGGATTGTGTAATTGTTTGATTTCATTTATTATAATTTTTTTTTATAATTTTTTTTATGCTTAATATTTTCTTCTCCATTTTATACCACCAATTATAAAAAATTCTTAATTGAAGCCATCTTATAACTTGGGTTGAAGAGTGAATTTTACACTCACAAAGATGATAATATTATTTTATATAGTTATTGTGATGTGGATTAGGTTGGAGATGCAAATGATAAAAGATCAACAATGGGAGATGTGTTCTTTGTTGGAGTGGGAGATATCTCATGGAATTGCAAGAGACAATCAATAATTATAAGGTCAATAATAGAGGTAAAATACATGATAGCAAATTATGGTGTAATAGAAGTAATATAGCTAAGACAACTTTTGGAAGACATTGAAGTAGTGCAAATAGAAGCAATACCAATAGAGTAACAATCAAGGATGTTTGATTTTTGAAAAAAATCAAAGTATCATTTAAGTACCAAATACATTAATATTTAACATTACTTTGTAAGAAAGAAGATTGAAATGGAATTAATTGATATGAAGTATTATGTAATAAAAGACATGCTTATTGATTTGTTGAGAAAGGTATTAGTAAAGAATAGACATCACATGTTGACAAATAGGTGTTGAAAGTAAGAGACATCTTATTCCATACTCTCTTTGTGTACAACCTTGCTAATGCTATATATTGTGACTTCAAAATTCTTTTTCTTCAATATTTTTTTCCTAATCCTATCAAAGTTGTTCCTCCAATACATATAATATCTCTTTATTGTATGAACTTGTCATCTAAATCAATTCATCTTAATTGCATTTGGTAGTCCAGTGGAGTAACTTCACTCACATAAGATTAAAAGTCTTCTATTTCTTAACCATTATTTATTTATGGTTTTGTTTTATCAAATTTTTATATATTATTTATTTATTTATTTATTTAAATTTTTATTTATTTTTATTTATTTTTATTTATTTTTATTATTTTATTTTATTTTATTTTATTATTTCTATTTTATTTCTATTTTATTATTATTTTATCTTATTTTATTTTTATATATTTCTTTATTTATTTTATTTTAATTTAGTTTTTTAATTATTTTATATATATATATATTATTTTATTTATTTATTTATTTAAACTATCCAAGAATCAGCTCATGAGAGTTCTTACATGCATCACTTTTTTCAACAAAGAAACAACCATACTAAAACATTAATCACAACACCACAATTGCTTATTATTACACCAAAAAATATATATAAGAATCCTTCCAAACTTGTTGTCGAACCACTACTAGAAATCAACTATCACCTTGCAACGACATAGCAAATCTCGACCAATCTAACATGGTCATTAAGTCCTAAGTCATGTCCTCTCTTTAATGCTAGTAAATTGTCTCCACGCCTCTGCAAAGCCACTCCTCTAATTTCCTTTGATAGGAACGCCTTCATCTCACTGCCTCCTTTGAAACAACTACACAGCTTAGATCCATCAATATCAATCCAACGTAGCACCAACATTGCTTCTCTTTAGTCAATTTGAACTCTTTTAAAAGTAGCACCCCTTCTTCTTCCTAATTAGCAACTTTTTCTACTGATCTGGATTTACTCTTATGCCCTATGACCAACAATCTTATTTTGCTATAATCCTCACATTCTTCTTCTTAGAGTCTCCCACTTATCTCATGAAACTAGATCATATTTGATTTTTCATCCAACTTTGGCACAAATTGCTACTTTATTCAGCTATTCTCACTTCTCCCTCAGCACAAACACTTTAGGCAGCATACATGTCTCCTACCAAATCATCCACTATTCGACTTCCTTATCTACTATATACTACACTTTGCACCACCTCGTCTTGTTGCCCTCACTAATTTTGTTACATTCAAATTTTAGTGCTTCATACCTTGTCCATTTAACATTATTGATATAACTTGCTCGGTCCAAAATTGTCTAGACTAGAACATACGCAATTCAAACCCATCTAGCAAAGTACGTCACCAATTTGTTGATTTGTTGATTTGTTGATTTTTTTTTTTTTTTTTTTTTTTTTTTTTTAAATCTTTGACACATTCTTATAAGAGATTGTTAGGAGCTCTTTTAGAAGTCTTTCTTATTCTATTTTTGCTTTATAATAATATATCCAAAATATTTTATTATTTTTAGTATATTCTTTTAATTCTAAAGGTCCAAATAACATATTTTCTACTGTTATCTCTTTCTTCATGACTTTATTAATATGACACCACTATCCTTACTTAATCTAATTTTAAACCACAATTTTTTCATCCACCATTATAATTGTACTCAACTCTTAACACCTAAATGAGACTTTTTTTCAATAATTTATCCTACTTAAATATATCCAAACTTTTTTCTTTCTAACTCCATGGATTTATTCTCATATTTATTCTAATTACATTGTGAGTCATAAAATTTGGCTCATATAACTAATTGGATCCAAAAAGACATGTGAGTATCCTTTGCATAGGCAAAACCATCCATTATTGTCTAACCTAACTTGTCTACACACAACTACATTGAGAGACGGTGCTTTTCATCTCTCTGGTTGTGTTAGAGTTAGCTTCAATGCACTTAATTGGTCCCACAAGTGCTTGCAATCAATTCTATTTCAAGAAGACTTGGACTCATATATGCAACCCAACCCAACATTCCTCTTCAGGTGCACTTAATTTTCCTCATTTGCCAAGTGCATATTATTTGTTGCCCTTTTGTGAGCATCAGGTGTATGCCTGTGCAGAGGTGGATTCCAAATCATCTATTTTCGATAAAGTGGTGCAGGTGGACTTTTGAGGGTCCGCATTTCTCACTGTTCACCATTTCTCCACATGCGGTTCGGAGCTCTGAGGAAAAGGGTTTCTGGAAGTGGATTGTCGAGAAATGGGTCCTGTCTTGGTGGAGCTCGCGATTTCTGGAGCTTGAATTGGCGAAGTGGGTTCATCGCGAATTGCGGGAGAATACTCCCTTGGCGTGCGTGAGTTGGAAAAATTGTCGTCTTTTGCAGGTGGGTTTGGTTGGATTCAATCGGAGGTGTGGTGGATAGGGATGAAGACGAGAGGAGCTATGGGGGAGTGGAGAGTGGCACTGGTGGCACTTCTTACCGTTCTAAGGTTTGCGGAGTTGTGGCAGCAAGCGTCGGCTGAAGGTGAGATTTGAGTTTGCGAGAATAGGGCTTGATGTAGATTTTGAAGAGGATGCGATTTGTAATCGCAACTAGGATGGATTTGAGCTGAGCATGATTCCTTGGTCGGCCCACTGATTGATGGAAGGTGAATAAGATGGTTCGAAGGGCCTGTAGCAGATTTGGTTTCTCTTACACAAGATCACAACATTAGCAACAGAAAAGATGCATTTTCTTTGCTAGGGCTTGAGACAGCGGTGTAATTGTATGTTGAGGTGAACTAATTTTGTGATACAATGCCGACAGTCGTTGCGGAATTGGGTTTCGTCGAAAATCCTCTGGACCCTAGCTATGCAAGATTAGTTGCGCAATTGAATGACGGGAATTTGTGGCTGTTTTCGTTGCAGATTGTTTCTGGGATAGCAGATGTCAGAACCTCTGGATGGGAGGTTGTGGTAATGGCTATGTGGCAGTCCAAACCTCTAACGACTGCCAGGGCCTCTGTGCAGTACAGCAGTATGAAGCGTGTCCTCTTTTCTTCACACGTTTCCAGTGTTGCAGAGAAGGTCTCCTTTCCATTTTACTCCTGCTTATACAGCCTGTGATTCTGAATGGTTTGTGTAGTGATGAGACAGGGTAATCCAAATGCTGCGAGTTTTAGGTCGATGGTTAATTGTACTGGAGATTATTATTCATGTCTACTCGTCCTTGAATTCATGAAGTATATCTTATTCGTGTGGCAACGGAAGTAATTGGTAGACTTTTAGTGTATAATTGTTATCAGTCTTCTGACGTAGCTGAGATTTGAATCAGGTAGAGCAAGACTAAGCAGTACCTGCAGTAAGTGCCCGAATAAAAAAGATATAGGTAGTGATTGGATCTGCTGTAGTGACTGCTCCGAGCCCTTCATCACTGAAGCGAAGAGCAAATTTGGCTACTGTCAGACGGATGCTTATCTAAGCGTCCAGCCAAAACCCCGGGGTGAGAATCTACATCTGCTAGCTGCACGGAATATGTCATATCTGTGGATCCCTAGTAGTACTTCTTTATCTTTATATTATATAAAATCGTGCTTTGCTTAATAGTATCGTTCAAATTTTCTGGACCAGAGTTATTCAAGTGGCATGCTCGTAGCTGGACGACTTGCTCCGGTAAATGCAAGAAAGCCAAACGAACCAGGGAAATCCAGTGCCTTCGGTACATGGAGAATGATCCCCATTTGGTTGAAGTTGTGGAGAATGATAAATGCCCGAATTCTGCTAAGGTATTTTTTTCATTCATAAGCAACTTTGCTAAAGCCCGTACTCGCATGTCTTAATTATTGCTGACACATGCCAAGGTTTGCGACCGCAAACTAACAAGCGCAATGACATTTATGAATCAGCCTTCACACAAAGAACGATGCATTCCTCGTGGTTGCAAGGGTTCCAGTCATCACAAGCGTCGAAAGCTGCCAGCCTGGGCAATCGTGTTGATCAGCTTGACATGCCTCACAGTCGTCGGAGGTCTGGCTTTCGCTGGTTTCATAATCTACAGAAGGTATGCATGTTCTCACTCTTCTGTCGTGAAATCCAACAGGCGTTAAGTTTCCAATTAGGATCATGTAGCCTCTGTTTTCTAGAGGTATGGCGTTTACACACCAAACCCTGCATTTGCATGACAGTGTAAAACATGTGTACACCGAAGTATGTCATTTGCTCCTTTGTGTTTTTACAAGCAGATGCTAACACATATTTATTTGTGCCGATGTGCAGACGAAACGATTCTAGTAATCATGGGTTTGTGTATGTCATGCTGGATAACTACTGATGGCAACAAATAACCATCCTCTTCGTAACTTTTGAACCTCACCATTGGTAACTGCTTCGTATTCTAGTGCAAATTAGTGTCAGGAGTGCTAGGGTTGGTTGTGTATAATTTCAGTCAACTGTAAGCGAGGAGGTTCTTCTTCCTTTCATGAACTACCAACTTTCCTGGGAAGACTTCAATTGCTTTGAGTTGCAAGGAGAAAGAATGCTTCTTGGAAGTGCTCTAATAGTGTGTAAATTTTCCATAATTGGCCAATTTTTTTAAAGGATTTACCATTTTATCAAAAGCACTAGAATGGCCGTTGTCAAGTTCAAAAAGTCTTGAACCAAGACTAGAGAACAGAAACGGTGTTACTTCTGAACAAAAAAGAATTGTCTTAGTCTTGCTTCTAAATGTAATAACTCACAAGAAGGTTGCATGAAAGCATTCTATAAACCACAAAGTCTGTAATCCAAGTATTAATATTACAAGGTGCTTCTGCAATAATTTCCTAAAAGTAGGAAACTCTTGGGAAATTCTTTCATAACCACATGGTGTATGCTAACACACTTTTTGATATTTCTTTAGGTAGGTATAATAATTCTAAATTGGTTTTATTTATTTCTATTTGCTTTCATTTACTTAAATAGTATATGTTGTAGTGACAACAAAAACATTTTGGCTTGAATTTTTTGATGTTTTAAAAGTATTTGTACTAAAAATTTATATGTTTATTGATGTTTATTTTTGTTCATAAAATTTTATATATTAATGACAATCTAATACTTAATGAGCTTAGGTTATTATTAAATCATCTATTTATGACTAAACAATTAATTAAACTATTTCACAATAGCTTCATTATGCTTGTACATTGATTAATGTAAAAAATCACTCTAACTTATTATTTTATGAATTAAACCATAAATTATAGAAAAGTATTTATTATATGAATGTAAATGTTAAGATTTTCTTTAAAATAAGAGTAAAAAAATCATACAAAACAACTTGGATCTTTAAATAATCAAATCTTATACTATTTTACACTAAAATTTAAAATATAATTTTCAAAATTACATTTTGAACATTTAAAAAAACCATATATGTGATCTTGCTAAAAAAATCAAGTAATATAGGTTACGTTAAATATAGATCTTTTAAAGGAATTTTTTTATTAAAGTATTAAAGTTGGATGTTTAAGTTTTATTTAGTATATATCCGAAATTAAATGAAAATAACTATTGGAATGTATTTTATTTTATTAATATATATGCATAAAAATATAATTATTTTAATAAATTTTTTTAATTTAAAAATAAAAATCATAATCACATTACTTTATTTTAAATAAAAAAAATATCTTTATTTGATGCATTTGATATTAAAGATGATCTTTCAAGAAGCATTGTTAAGATGTTTACTTTTAATGTGACTTGAAACAAATCAAAATTAAAATTTCATAATAATAATAATATGTCAATAAATTATTTATGATAACTTTCAAAATAATAATAATTATTTTAAAAAAAACACACACATACACACAATACTTTTCTTAAATTTTAAAGAGAATAATAATGATAAATTATAGAAGTATACTAAATAAGATATAAAAAATAAACATATAAAAAATAAAATAAGGATAAAATTTTAAAAATATTAGACATGAAGTATAATGAAATTAAAATAAAACTGAATAATGCTTGGAAAAATTACATATGGCATAATTATTATAAAATAAAATAAAATAAAATAATTATTTTAAAATATTATGCAAAAAGAAATAATTGAATATAATAATTTAAATAATACTTCATGTTGTATGATTATATTTAATTTTAATTTTATGTAAAATATTTATTTTTTATTATCAATCAATTTGATCTTTGATGATTTTATTTTTTATATAATATTAATTATGAATTTTAAAAATAATATTTGATAATACTAATTTATATTATCTATATATTTTAACATATATAGATAAGATTTTTTTTAGATAGAACCAAATTAATTAATTTATGTATAATCTTAAATTGCCGTAGTTTTTTTTATCATTTAGATTTTCTTTCAATGATGTCATGAATTGATAATAATACTTCTGATACATATATATATATATATATATATATATATTCCTTCTAATTTCATATACATGTATTTTATTTTAAATCTAAAATTATGCATTGAATCTATAAAATTTATTTACATAATTTGTAAGTCCATATTTTTAAAGTTTTACTAGTAGCACTTCAACTATAAGTCAAAGCATAGTTAGTGCTTGCCAAAAATTAATAGATATCGACAATCATATATCAATCATTATCCAAATCAATCTTAGTCAAAAATATATGTAAATTTCATGTTAAATATAAAATAAAGTAAAAAAATATGAATACAAATATAATTTTAGGAGGTCACAAATGATTTAAAAAACCAAAGCATTGTAGAGATGCATCATTAGTTTTGTACTTGTTTTTAGATTTAAATTTGTATACATATATATATATTAACATCATTCCCACTTCTATTGTTCTTAATCCACGCTCCCTCCATTTTCATCTCTCATCTCCATTCTTCATTCTTCCATTCCTAATTCTCATCCCAACCCCTTCTATTTCCAACTATGGCCATAGAATTTCTCCTTGGCATGTTCTACTTTGCAAACAAGGTTGTTTACAATGCTTGTAACAACTTAATATCAAGAAGGTTTAGAGCATATGAAAGAGTTGATGTCTTGGGGTGCATTATTTGATCAAAGTGAAGAATATATACACTAAAAAGGAAAAACGAAAAAATGGGAATAAAAAAGTAATTAATAATAGTTGTGAGCAAGCATTGTAAACAATGTCTTTTGCAAAGTGGAACATGCCAAGGAAAAATTCTACTACCATGGTTGAGAATAGAGAGGTCGGAACAAGAATTAGGAATAGGAAAACAAAAGGTCAAGATGAGAGTTGAAAATGAAGAAAATATGGGTTGGGAATAAGGGAGGCAATGTCATGTGGTAATACAATTTTATAGTGAAAAATAAAAATATGAATGTTATTATAGAAGAGCCTATTTGAAAGATATAGTAAAAAAAATAAATATAAATGATAGAAAGATAATAAAAGATTTGGTCGTAATACTACCTAGTATAGAAGGAACTTCTATTTACTTTATAGAGACATAAATGAATCAAATCAACGTAAATGAAATAAAAAAATAATATAGGTACGTCTAAAAGAAAATTAGCAATAAATTAAAGCAAAAATTACCTCAAAATATCAAAAATTGATATTTGGAGAAGACCAATTGTCAACTTGGGTCAAAGTCAGATTCTAAGACATAAAACCATATTAATAATGTTCTTGGTAGGATGAGGGTTTGAAAAATAAAAATATGTTTACAAATTTGAGGATTTCTTGAGTTCTATAGTGTGTATATAAGTGAAATTTGGATAGTATCTTAGTGTGCTCGTTGTAAATGTGTATGAAAATTTTGAGGTCAATCGAATGGTTAGATTGAAGTATATGAAGGTTCTTATGGATTGAGATCTCAAAAATTGGAGTTTAAGGGTCAATGAGTGTTTTTAAGATCTTCAGCAATTTGTTAATTGGATTGAATTAAAATTTCCGACTTTGAATGAAATTTGAGAGCAATTCAATAATTCAAGAAAGAAATATTGATATTGTAAATTCAGCATTTAGGTTGGAGTAGGAGGCCACCTAATACTTAATTAGATTATCTTGCATTTCTCTCAATTGGTAAGTGGGATCAATTTCATCTTTTTTATGCTTGTTTCTAACTAAGTTATTAAGAAGTGTGTAGAATTTGAATTGATATCAACAATTTTCAATCTTCTATAGAATTTGGTAAAAGTTTATTTAAGATTTATAGTTTGATAAGAATTTGTTTAGGATTTATCTAGGATTTAAGATTTCATTAGGGCTTCAATTAGGATTTGACCTAGAATTTGCTTGAGATTCAGTAAGGTTTTAGTTAGGATTAAATTAAGATTTGATTAGAATTTATTTAAAATTTCTATTTTTAATATTTAAAAAGGATTCTTTATTATTTCTTTGAAATTTTTTATTTCTAATATTTCTTTAAAATTATTGTTATTTCTTTAAAATTTTGTTTTTATATTTCTTTAAGATTTCTTCTTATTTTTCTTTGAGATTATGTTCGGACTTCTTTATGTTTTTTTATAATTTGTTTTAAATTTATTTTAGATTGGTCAAAGTTTGGTTAAGATTATCAAAGTTTACTTGAAGTTTATTTAAGATTCTATTAGACTTGGTAGAATTGTTGTTTCATTTCTACTTACCCTCTACAGTTAGATGCCAGGTGCATTCTCAAGTAAGAATACACACAATATGACAATGGAGATGATGTTAATGATGGTTAGGATTGGTTGGACCAATTTAGTGAAACAATGGGTCTATTTAACATTTCTCTATCTATCTATCTATCTATCTATCTATCTAAACTTTTATAAGAGGAAGACTAAGGGAATGGGTCTTGAGAAGCTTGTATAGAAATATGAAGAATTGAAGCTTGTCGAAGCCCCGAGGCGATGAGAAAGCGGAGCTCAGTCATGCAAGTGGCGATGCGAAGTGCTGCTGCTGCTTGGTTTGCGAGAGCGACGAGGAGGAGGCCTGGTCATCGAGGGAGCAGCAGAAGGGGCGTCACAACCAACGCCTGCATTTCACCAGGCGCGCTTGGATCAAACCCAGAATGGCATCCCCTCTTCTCATCCGTTTGTCGCCCGCCAGAATGCTTTTCCGGAGATGATACCCACAGAATCGATCGGCGTAGTTCGTGGAATCCTATCTTCTTGTCTTGTTTTACACCATTCTGCTGAATTTTGCCTACTCGCATGACATGCTGAATCAAGCGAACGAGCGAACTGGTTGGTTGCTTGATTTCTGAGGTGGACTTTCGAACTTGGATGTGACCCAAATTTTTGGTGATGTCTGTGGTTGCTCATGAAGACATTCGACGCGTGCCACCTCGCTGGATTCAAGCGCGGTTTTATGGGGGTGCTTGATGCGTAATATCCAGTGCTAGACTCAGTTTAGAGACTCAGGGCAACAAACTCGTTGCGGAGTCGGAAGGGGAAAATATCTGGGAGTCGCGACTCATTCGTGATTGTTGACGGAAACAGGGCCGTTGATGGGCCTTGTCGTGGAGGCTGGGAAGCAGAGGTCGTCAGGCTGGCGACAACGAACCTCCTGTCCCGCGAATTTTTGCATGGAAAGCCTAATGGCGCCATATTTTCCATCCATGAGTAGCCAAGCGTCCATCGAAACCCTTCACCCGGTCGAATCTAGCTCACTTTTTCAAAAAAAATTAATGAATCGACTGCACTTCGGAATTGCTCAAGACAATGTGGTTGTGCTGAACAATTCTGAAGTGCTGATTCCGGCCGAGAAACTATCAGAGAATTCTAATCCCAAGCTTATCCTCTAACGAGACTTCGATTTGACACGCTGTTAGCATGAATGACCCTTACCGCAGCGTTTTAGCAGATAATCCGAATGGAGTAGTGAAATTACGTTAGATATTTTGGTGCAGGCACAAACTCCATGGGAAAGGGTATCACCAGATTCATTGTATGCATGTCCTATTCCCTTCATCCAATTGCAGTCCGAAATTTCTCCTCGGGAACATTCTTATCATAGTGACCACGGAGAATCTTTTGCAACTTTTGTCCCCTTTGTCATCACTCCCAGATCGGCAGCTTATTAAATCTGCAGGACTCCCATGTGTCCATTGCTCTTTTCTCCAGGTCTCAATCATTCTTCTGACTTCGCAATCTGCCGTCTTTCAATTTGTGATTGTCGACACCAATTCTCTGCTCGTAAGACAATGGCTGCGACCGTGAGCATGCAGGTTGCGGGACTTGCTGCAGGAGTTGCCTTCGCCCCAGAGATCAGCAGCGGCAATGTGGGATCGTCCTCCAGCTCCCTGGCCGGCGTCAGGATGGTGGTCTCGCCCAAGGCCCAGCTCAGGCACGCACGCTTGCCGGCCGCCAGCGCGTCGATGTACTCCGATGCCAAGTACGACTTGAACAACTACAAGTTCGAGCCTATCAAGGAGTCCATCGTTGCGCGCGAGATGACGCGGCGCTACATGACCGAAATGATCACTCACGCCGACACCGACGTGGTGGTGGTGGGAGCTGGGTCTGCGGGCCTGTCGTGCGCTTACGAGCTGTCGAAGAACCCGAATGTGAAGGTGGCCATCATCGAGCAGTCGGTGTCGCCGGGAGGAGGCGCGTGGTTGGGCGGGCAGTTGTTCTCGGCCATGGTGGTGCGCAAGCCGGCCCACCGCTTCTTGGACGAGATTGAGGTGCCCTACGAGGAGTTGGAGAACTACGTGGTGATCAAGCACGCGGCTCTGTTCACATCCACGATCATGAGCAAGCTGCTGGCCCGGCCCAACGTGAAGCTGTTCAACGCGGTGGCGGCGGAGGACTTGATCATCCGGGGCGATCGCGTGTCCGGCGTGGTGACGAACTGGGCGCTGGTGGCGCAGAACCACAACACACAGTCGTGCATGGACCCGAACGTGATGGAGGCGAAGGTGGTGGTGTCGTCGTGTGGGCACGACGGACCGTTCGGCGCGACGGGAGTGAAGAGGCTGCGGAGTATTGGGATGATCGAGAGCGTGCCCGGGATGAAGTGCCTGGACATGAACGCGGCAGAGGACGCGATTGTGAAGCACACGCGGGAGGTGGTGCCTGGCATGATTGTCACGGGAATGGAGGTGGCCGAGATCGACGGGTCGCCACGAATGGTGCGTTTCTTGGATTTCAGCAGTGGAAAGTGTAGCGGCAATGTGCATTGTTGTCTAGATGTGTTGTGTGACTTGCATGAAGGAGATCAATTTGACTTCTGGAGTTGGATTTAATGATTGTGAATGTGAATACGCAATTCAGGGACCGACATTCGGAGCGATGATGATATCTGGGCAGAAGGCTGCGCACCTGGCCCTGAAGGCGCTAGGCCTTCCCAATGAGCTTGACGGAAACTACAAGCTCAATGTGCACCCTGAGTTGGTGCTTGCATCCACCGACGACGAGACCGCATCCGCCTGAGCCTTGACCATGGGGAACAAATTATCCCTCGAACTTAGTTCTTTTTGGGAAGTGGGATCTCTTGTGTCCATTAGGTAATTTCTTTGTAAGTAGTGGAGCAGGAGGTTAATCTCTCTGAAAACCAATGTGTGATAGAAGTAGGAATCGTATGACTGCTCTTAGGTTATGAGTCATTTCTCGTTAGCGAAGTTCTTTTTTGGGACTTCTATACTTGTGCTGTTTCTAAGTTGTTGATTAATGGAATGGAACAGCTCTCACTGTTAACTTGAATTGCACCGGGGGGTGCTTGCTTCTACGAGCAGGCTGAGAATAACCGTAATTGACCTGATCAAGAGAATGCCTGGGAGTGGAGTGCGAGTGTGCTTGTTTCTTGAGTGCATGACGGAATTCGCGAGCTCGGCAATGAATACTTCAATATCGCTTTGTTTGTGGAATAGGGATCAAGCGTCAATAGTTACCTGTATTGTCTTATTTGTTTGAATGTGTGATAGCTTCCTTGCGCACAAATTGCTGATGGTCCTTAAAACTTAAATTTAGACCCAGACATCGCTTGAATTGGCTTGTGGAACAATCGTGAACGTATATAATAGAAGAGACTTCCAGTTCCTGTTTTCGAGTTTCACTATACTGGCGGTGAAGGTATTAGACCTATTTTAACCGATGTGTAAACTTGAAATAATTAATGATGTGCCTCTTACATTCTCCCAAAAACGTTGAAGTCGAGAAAAGTGTGCACTCTTCACATCAATCCTGCGCGACAGAGTCCAAATTCAATAAATTTACACTATTGATGTACAGTCACAATCATGTGTGCAGAAGCTGATTTTCTTCGTCAGTTGGGCTAAAACGTAGAACAATGTGCATCTTATCTGTACACTCTGACAATGAGAGATGATTGTGTTGATAATATCACAGTTCTAGTACGAATGCAGTACTTTACACTTCTTTGTAGAAATGAGTACACAACGTGAAAGAGAATTGTATTCTCTTCGACATTATCTGTAAAAAACGTGAATGGTAGAAAAGCAATTCGTGCCTATCTTCAGAAAAAGCTGAGTTATATCACTTGGGGCTTCAGCTGAAAAACCACATTCCCCCCCCCCCCCCCCCCCCCCCCCAAAGCTCATTTCATATTCGTGCATGTAAGAGAAGAGGCGTATCATCCACATTTCACAATTTAGCTGCTCGAAGCACGACTCCGCATAAAATTATGTTTCTACTGCAAATTGCGAGGCTTGAATTCGTACCCCAACAAGTTCCTTTGTATTCTATTTTCTTAATAAACATGATAGGAAGGCATCGACAGCACCCCTCCATAAAACCAGGACAGAAATTAATTTAAGAAATAAATGTACTTGGTTTGTCAAACAGAGAATTGCTGATCATCAACCCAACTACTTTCATTCTCAAGTTCTCCATAGGCCTTATTCGATAACTGGCAGACCATGTGAAGCTTTGAAGATGACCCCACGGTGTTGCAGATAACCATGCTCCAAACGGCTCTAAACATTCCAATCAGACACAGTAAACTTGGCTGGACTTCATTTTCAGAATACCAGTTTCCACTCCACGTCTTTATTTATTTATAGCCACAATGTAGGCTGCAGTCGCTAATATCTCCTGTCGTTTTTGTACTTCCGAGTCTAATTCAGAGCCCCCTCATGAAACGATGATCCATGATCTGCTCAGTCTTCAAATGCAAGAACTATCGGTCGGTGGCAAGGATTCATTCCATTGGAGCATTCTGAACTGCTAGTGCGTTATTTAGTAGGATACCTGTTTGTTTTGTTTTGTTTGGTTTTGAAACATAAGGATGTGCATGCCTTCCCTGTTTAAAAGAAAGTTCAATACAAAGAGGAGCCTAGTCTTACGGTTGTGGTTTCTGGGTAGACTGCATTCTGAAGAGGGAGTGTAGTTGCAAATTGAACCCTTTTCTAAATTTCTAATCCGAAGTTTTTATTTATTTTTTTAATTTCCATTTTTGTCAATTTTTTTCAAGTGATATTATTCATATTGTGGTTTCCCACATATTAGATCAAGACTTTTTCTCCAATAAGTATTATCATAGTCTGTTAGTTTGTATCATATTGTTATGTTAACTTTTTTACATAACTAAGTCTCTTATCTAAAAAGCAAGTCAACTTTTTTTGCTCCCATATGATCCACAAACAAGCCTCTACTATTAGTGGTGAACGTGTTTTTAAATTTTTTACATTGTCAAAGGCCTGATTAAATCTACATTTTTGAATATTAAGTGCTAGTAATGGAGTGTTTTGTAAACAGTATTTACTAATGTGATAAAAAATGATAGAACTCTATTATTAACTTCATTTTGCAACCAGGAAATTCCAAAACCTATATAAAATTATTTTTTATCCTAAAAAAGTATAAAGAATCATTGTTGGTGTGTTCAATCTTGTCTTCTTTGCATTCATTGCAATTTCTTTGTGCCATATAAGTCAAATGAGTGTATATTCTTTTTTTTGCTAATAACTTGTTTTCCAAGACTTTTTAATTTATATTAAATTGAAGAGATAATTTTCTATTCTATTTAGTGATATGAGTAGAGATGAAAGTTATATAAATTCAAAAATAAACTCTATCTTCTCTTACATTAGAGTCACTTAAATAACAATCTCTATTCTACAAGTGGTCTTTGGAGTAAAAATTTTAATTATTTGTTAGTCCAAAAAAGATGATATTTATTTTTAAAGATGCAAGAATCTTATTATTTAATTTTCTTGTAATATAAAATAAATATATTTTAAATACGAATTGGTCTTCAGAACTATCTTTATAATAATTTTAGAGTCTTGATTGCTATGACTTTTTTAAAAATAAATGTTTAGATGTTTGTTATTAAAATAATTTAAATTCTATCAATTTTTATTGAAAAAATATTTCCATCAACATATCTAAATTTTCATAAAAGAATCTAAAATACATAAATAGGTCAATTAGAGTTACTATGACTAAATCCAATTTTTAATGTCTATTTTTTGGAATCCAAATAATAAAGGTAGAATTCATGTTTTTGAGTTACAAAGTTCATATATCTATATTTGTTGTAAAATAATGATTGAAAAATTTAATTATAAAAAATATCAATTTAGAATTATCTTATGTTCTTATCCAAGCCACATACTTTAAAATATTAGCTAAAAATAGGATAATGATTTATAAAATCTTTATTAAAAAATCTTTAATAAAATCAAAGATATTTATTTTTTAGTATGTAAACACTTTAACAAGTATTCATAAACATGCCAAATATGATTCAAAGTAAGCTAATGCTATGAGTTATAAATAATTTTATAGTATAGCTGATAATGCAATTTTATTTTTAAAACTCTCCATCGTTAATGTCATATGTTTAGATATTTGCATGAAAATAATATATATAATTTATAATAACCAAAATAATTAAGTAATATATTAAAATATTATAAATTAACCTATATTAATTATATAATTTATACTTAAAAAATATAAATAGACATTTGTTGACAAAATTTATTCTACCAATATTAACTATATAATATAGGATTTTATTGTAGTCTAATTTCTACAAGACTTTAATAATTGTAGAATATGTAAATAAATTTTGTGGTAAGTTACTAGTTGGTTATTGACAACCTTGAGAATTAGACTTATGGTTAGCTAATTTAGTTGGTAATAGTAGGTTATTAGTGGAACAAATGGTTAAGAATTCAAAGGTTCATAACCTTTGGAATCTGCTAGTCAACGATCCATCTTTTGGTAGGATAAAGAGGTTGAGAAAAGAGAGATCGGGGCCAGATTGTGAGAGTCGTAAGCCAAGGTAAGCTTGGTACTACCTCTTTGTTTTCTTTGTTTTTATTATTTACTTACGAAGAATTGTGATTGAGAGAAGTATTGTTGAAATTGTGATTAAAATATTGTGGAATATGACTTTGGACTGACGGTTTTGGAAAAAAACTGTGATCTTGAGAATTGAGATTATCGAATTGTGTTGTGTTAAGTAAAGATATTGAATTGTGTGTGATGAATTGAGAAACTGAATATAATAAGTAAGCTGGAGATGAATAATTGAATATATATATAAACCACAAAGAGAGTAAGTGGGAGATGAATTGATAAGAATATGGAAGTATTGTTGAATTGATAGTCGCAGAATGGATTATGTATTGAATTAAGACGGAAGTAGTAAGCCTTGGTGTTTTGTAGTTTGATAATTGATTTCAGATAATTAGAGTACACTCAATTGTGACACTAATAGATCCAATTCATATAACCAGTCTTTCCCCGTGTTCGAACCCACCTCTATTAGTTCAATTGCTTTGGTATATTGAAGCTTCAACAAAATGAGAACAACATTTTGGCATCGCTGCTGGGAAAATGGTAACAATATGAAATGTTAGAAATTGATTATATGGGAGATGGAATTATATGTTGAATAAAAACGTGAGAAGAACCAGTTTTAGGGTTACAAATATGTGAGTTATAATTCAAGGCTGTATTGATTTTGTAAAGAATAATGAAAGATTATTAGTGATAATCCTGAAGGAGAAGATTATCTAAGAATTAATCGACAAGCAAAAGAAAGACAGGAGTGATTACACATAAAAAATCTCCTACGGGAACAACAAAAAGGAATTATAGGTCCAAGTAAAACCAAAGGAAGAAAAATTCAAATTCAAATAGCAAGGAGATCAGTGATAATATCAATGGCCGCGGGAGTGCCAGAAGTACCAATTGTGGTACAAATGGGAGCAGTAGGAGATCGCACTACAAGTGTGGCACCATTACTTACTTTTAGTGATTGGCCAGGTTATCCCAATCACCATATATCTCAATTCTTGACAACTTGCGTAGCTAATAATGGTAGAACTGAAGATATTTGGTTGAGATAGTTGCCAACAACTTTAAAAGATACACCTTTTGAATGATATAATCGACAACCAAAGGGTAGATTTTCCAATTGGGAGCCCTTGAGGAATGCCTTCCTAATCCATTTTAGACCAATTGGATTTGATGATCGGCTTAGAGAAAGTTTTATGAATAGTAGGATGTTTGCAAGGGAATCAATAGAGTCCTATTATGGCCAAGTCACGGATATACTTTGTAAATGGTCAAATAATCAAATGCTAGATGCATTTATATTGTCGATATAAATCAATGGTTTGCATCAATTAGAATTGAAAATGTTTGTAAAAGAGGTTCGATCAGCTACGGTAGAGGCATCATTGGCTTAAACAAAGATGTGGGAAGAATGTCATTATGACTAATTATTAAC